GAATCAACTCCCATATGGCATGATGGAAGGAGAACTGTCTTGCTCTCCAACAGCCGGGTTTGGGGACAGACTTGTCGATTTTTGCTTGCTGACGTCCATTAGCTTGAACCAACACTTCTGTCATAAAATGTACTTTCTTCTCAATGCCCAACCTTTGCATATTCGAGCATAATAATATCTGAAAATGACAGCAGACTGCATTGGTAGTCGCCAAACATATACGGGCCTCCAAGATGACCTTCATCGAGGCATTTGCGTAAGTGGTTTTTATGAAATTAGGGGCTCTGGCTCTGGTCTCCTTCTGGCCTAAGCGGTTTTAAAAAAAGACCAAATACCCAAAAATTCATTTCACTCTTTCAACGTGTACAATAAAAGTAGCTTTTGCCTGCCGTCTCGGAGAGGAAGCATGTTGCCCTGGTCCTTCTTTTGACAATCTCAGTTTTGCTGACAATCTGAGCTGCATTGAGGACTTTACAAACTGCCAAATCCCTTTTATGAGGTGCAGAAAATTTATTCAAGCAAAATGCGCAGTTCCGCAGCTATAGCAGTACAACGATCTATCACCAAGAAAACCTCTGTCGGTTTCCGATACTCGAAAATTTATTATTGTAGGCATGGTTGTGAGTTGCGTAACAATTCGCCGCCCAGGTGTGCGCATACTGTGAATACGATGCTTGAATACTTTCCATAGACACTTTGTCTTTACAGCCCTGCTCAATTTTATTCGTCCTGGGATGTATTATGCTCTAGTAGATGAATATCACCTTTTACCCACCCCCTCTATGGGGAGGGGCTGTTGAAAACCAAACTGTGCATGCTGGAGTCCAAAAGATCAACTACGACCGAGCCAAGAGAATGGAAGTTCTTTTGTCCACATCACTGCCCTCTCTCCATGTTTGAGCCCAATCGCTCTGGTGGGGGCAAATGGTGTACGTGACCCGGTGGACAGAGATATGAGTGGGAGGGCAGTAGGCTAAGACGGGGCAATTTTTTACGACTCGGGTCAACTTTTATCCTAAAACCCTTGAAGCTTCAAGATTACAGGCCTGTCCCCTTTCACCCACTGTGATTTGATCTATTGTCTACTCATGCGGGAAGTCGCGGGCGAGTGACCGTGTGCCTTGAGCATAAATCACTTCCTTCCCCGCCTACTTACATCCGCTTCTATATGATGGTGATGGAGTAACTGACGCATGGCCACCGTATGCTCCTGTGCGAATATATGTAGGCGTGCGTGGTTTGACACTGCCGTCCGAATTGGCGAAGACAGATCGAGTTAAAAATCCCACACACGCACATAGAGGCACTGCTTAATGTCCAGTGTTCATAATGCACGTGATGGGCTCGAAGCCAGTGGGTCGGACTGAAGCATAAACTGGGACAGTCCAAATATCTGCTCCTCAATAGTGCGTCAAATTACGCTCGGGATCTGGACAGCGATTACGTACCAAGTGTTCGTCAGCATCCATTTCCCACTGTCTATGTTGTCAGTGAATGCACGTGTTTGTGAGTGACCCCTTGGTCCTTTATTTCGGATAGGACCAAGTGGCTGGCCAAAAATTTTTATAATTAGGGGGAACTAAAGAGAAATGGCCTCTTCCGCAAGGAGGGCGGTTTTGATCTATGCCCGCTGACGCAAACCGGTTCATGAAGCATGCATGAAAGGCAGCAGTGTCTGTTGCGTTCCTCTCACTTTTGCCAGACTGCATTAACATAAGACCCCTTTCCGTTAAGTTCACCTGTAAAGACTTCAAATTTTACGCCTGTGGTCTAATCCGCATTAGGATGCGAGTCCTGACTGTTCAGCATTAAAGTTGATCCAGTCATCAGATCTAGGTGTCCATTTAATTAGTTGTAAAAGTATTGCAAATTAGCTTCCCTGAAACTGCACGACGCCAAACTCTTCTTCATTCATGGACAAGGTCTGGAAAATTCGAGTCTTCTTTTTACTCGAGTGAATTTCTGACCCTGTCAGACCTCCTCGCCCCCGATAGACTGCACCAGTGGCGAGATGAGAAGCGGGGAGGAAGCGCCGAAGAAGTAAGCCAGTTTACCATCTGCTTGCATTAAACCGAAGCGAGAAAATTTTCAATTCGGAACCGATGAGGTAGGGGAGCCGGGGGCGTGCAACAGATCGGCGGCAGGGCTTGGCACTGGCCGCCCTTCAATGCTAAATGCCGGCTTTCTGGGTCAAACACATCCGCCTCTATCGCCTCAGTCCATCGTGTTCAGTGTGAAATATCACCTTTGGGCACCGGTATCTCCGCCTTGGTTGGGGGGGGGGGGGGCAACGACGACGGATGGCTCCATAAGGGCATGCAAATTAGGGTGTAATGACCGTTTAGCTGAGGCCTTTGGTGGAATGAAGGGGCGCGCTGAGATTTGTACAAGCCCGCCTTCTACTGGATGGAACATGAGAAAAGCTTCAAGTCTTCATTGCTCGGAGTAGGTGCCCTGGGAGACGACCACATCTCTGCTGCCCGTTGTTAGTGCAAACACGCGCGCACGTGGTGATTGAATGCAGGAACGTGTCAGACTGCATCGCCCAGGTGGTTGATCCGGCGTTTTTGTGATATGCGGCTTATGAGTCAGCAGTTCATGCATGTTTGTCATTAGAATACTCTATGCGCATAAACTTATGCATAGCCACTGGTTCCTGTAAGTCCAATGCAAGAACATGGTAATCTGGGGAAGAGAGTGGATGCAACATCTGAGTGTGGGCGAGGAATGGGTGGGGTGGGGGGTCGAACGGAATGGTGGATGTCGCAGCAAAATAATGAACATATATGTAGACTGGCGAGTCCGAAGGCAACGAATATTATGCATAAAGGCGTTCTCTGTCAGTCATCTCCTGGCCTCATAATGGGGGTAAGGGGTGACGCCTATTTTCTGTCGCCCTTAAGGGCCTGACTCCAGGGGTGGCTAGTGTGGGCCTGTACGCATGCCCACGGCCGGCAGATGTTTCTAGACTCGGGGTCAAGAGCCTACGCGGCCACCGGAGACATCCCGCGGGGATAAAAGGGTGCATGTATGGATGTATGGCGTTTGTGGGTATCGTTTGAATGGGGACCTAATGATGAGGATGCAGGTTCTTTGCAATTAAAACGCTCCACCGCCCCACCCCGGACCTCTCTACTAAGCCAACTTCTCCCTCTCTCGATCCGGTCTCCCATTAGCGCAAAACTGACTTAAGTGCGGGCTAACGTGTGCGTGTAGGGGGTGGATTAGGAAGGGAGGCGACGCCAATGGTTACAGGGAAAAGTAACGAGGTGAAGCAAACAAGTGCTTTTGTGCGGAAGGCGCAAACGACCCGCTTTCATAAATGGAGCGAAAGCACTCATTTCACATATTTAATCGGCGTTGCTATGTCACTGAAAGTCAAACGAGGGGATGAAAGCTAGACCCAGAACTGGCTGGAGTAACAATATTCAGAATTCAATCAGCCCTCCACCTCCAATAAGCGAAAGGGAGGTCATCAGAGGTCTTGGACGCTGGAGCCAGGAATGAACCCTGAAGAACGATAAAAGGCCTGATTGCCAGAGAAGTTCGCCTTCCTGGGACGGCACCATCACGACGACAGACAGGTTGGCGTTACCGAAATCGCGTCCGCATCAAGTGTATTGGTGGTGACCAATGGATTTAGGCTGTTTTACTGAGTCTCTAACATCTCTCTTCAACCAATAATCGAGTTCCTTCAGATTAGTTGGAGCGGCCAAACCAACAGGGTGATATATCCGCTCCTGTCAAACACTACGTTTGAAAAATTCCATTGTTAAAGGCCACCGAAAGCAAGTTTACAAGTCGTAGTGACAGATTCAGAGATGTTACTATTGCGGAGGTCTTCTTCACTGCAATCCAGGTCTCCCGCAAGTCATTGGTTATTCCCGGACAGTCATTAGTCCCTCCACTGTGCACGATAGATGAGCCACAGTGACAGTTGAGGTCATGGTTACATCCGACTACACGCTTTTCTCCCCTTCCACCCGTCGTCGTACTACTGCACCTTCACCCACCCGGCACCTTTGAGAACAGTGAACTTTCAAAGTTTGCTTAACTGGCATCT